ATGCTTTGCTTGTACAAGAATGCACATGCATGTACAGCCCTGGATTCATGCATGCACGAGCAAATTCTGTGTTTGATCCAATAGTTTGTAACAACAGGTCCTATCCCCCTTACTTCCAAACATCCTCCTCAGGACACTGGTTCATGATTGAATGCCTTCTCCAAGACCACAAACGCATCTAGACTGGCTAGGCAAACTCGGATGCACCCTCAAATATCTATGAGGGAAAAGAACTCGTCCAGGATTTAACAACCAGAAAGAAAACCACATTGTTGCTTCTGGATTTGAGGTTTGACTAAAAAGTGGGCTTCCCTCTCCAGCACCCTGGCATAGACCTTGCTAGGGAGGCTGGGATCCAAGTGAAGTTGAAGGGAAACAGGCTCCCATTTCTTTTATCCGAAGGCATGCGAACTTCCAAAGGCATGTCAACCAGGACAGCCCCACCACATCCAGAGCCTCAAGGAATTTGAGGGAAGTCTCATCTGCCTCAGAGGTCCAGCCACCAAACAGTTTAGGAGAAGGCGTAAGAAAGTCGAAGAAAGATTTAATGAATTTATTTTTGTGTATATGCTTTGTAAATTTTAGCAGAATTGTTGGACAGTGACGTTGTACAGCCCTTCTATCTATTGCATATATACAGTTAAGTAAACCAGTAAACGTGATACCTTTCTACAGATGTAGTCTCCAGGACTGAAAACTTGCGGTCGTAGTTTTAACACCAATTCTACAAGGAGGCCTGCCTCACAGTCCTGGAAGATACGCACCTAGGTCCAAAAACAGACACAAAAGCAACATTTAGGAACTTCAGATCGTTTGACTAGTTTTGCCAAGTGAGGTAAAAGGGTAAGATATGGGTCTTTACCTTCTTAAGTGTGTCCAGGTGAACATTGATAGCTATCTCAGCTCTCAGTTTATTAGGCAGACTCTTGAGGACTTCTTGTTCATCAATTGTCTTCTGATTGGTCCAAAGGTAGTCAAACCAGCGGATGACACGCTGCTCCAGCACCTTGCTGACATGTCTGAAGTGCATGTAGTGTTTGAGTCCATCTACACGTGTTTGAAAGGTTGCTCTTGTTGCATTCATATTAGAAATCATGGATCCAACATTACCCACAATGGAGGCAAATATCAGAACACCAACCTGGAGAGAAATACCAGTAGTAATTGTTTTAGCAGACTGGAAAAACTAGTATACACCTTTTGTATAGGGTTTGAGTAAGCTATAAACCTACCAGAAAGTCAAATATCAGGAACAGATATTCTTCATCTCTAACGGGTGGAGGAGTTTCTCCTATGGTGGTCAGCGTCATGGTCGACCAGTATAGGCAGTATATATAACTTCGTGACAAGGTGCCGAACTCAGGGTCAGACGCATTGGGATAAACCCATGAGTCAGAGCCCAGTCCCAGGATTTTGGAGAAGCTGTAGTATCCGCAGGCATTCCAATGGATTATGACCAGGATGTACAGAATCAGTTTACAGATGCGGAAAGCATTGGGGTAACCCGTTCGTGTTTCTGTACGCTCAAAGAACTCAAAGAGACGGGGCAGGCGCAGCAGTCTGTTGAATCGAAGAAGCGGAGTGTAGCCGATTCCAACAATCAGGTACAAGAGGTCAGTTGGAAGAATGGAGCAGATGTCAAACTGACACTGTAACGTTCGAATGTAGGTTTCTCTCAGACGGCGCACATCTTTGATCATCAAGCCTTGATCCAAGAAACCTTGATGTACATAATAAATGTAAATACAATGTCCCACTTCTGGGATTTTTAGAAACCTGAATTAAGATTCCATCAGGAACAAAAAAGAGGTCAGTGTCATAATATTTCATGTTCAGTAGTTTCTTGTCTGTTTCATGATGGAAACTTATCAGAGTACCTGTGTGAAGCCGAACAGCAACATCCAGGATATAGACTCCATCACAGGTGTAGTCCAGCACTTGCCAGATGAGCACGTTTCTCATCTGGAGTTCATCGAAACAAGCCCTAAAGAAATACAAACACCAAAGTGACAAAAATGATATCAATCTGCTATTCCAGACACATGTCATTGCCCCAGAGACGTGTTAGTAAGAGTAATAACACAAACAGGAATCTGCTTCTGAGAGGGAGTTTGACCGTTTGTATTAGCGGAAGCTATGTCAATGTCAGCTCCCTACCTGACAACTAGCAGGGTCCAGTTGTAAAAGGCTGCAGCACCAATCACCATCAACCAGTAATAGTACGCGTCATCAGATGGAGATAAAACCACAATATTACACTTTTTTCTCCTGACAGAGAGAACCCAAAACACAGACAGTAAGCATCAACTGAAGTTTCACACTGTTTGCATGTTAGCTGTTGTTTCCTCACGTGCGTCTGGAGCGTCTGATTTCGTGATCTGCATCTGAGCCGGTACGGCTGTGGCTGAACCTGCTGGACGGCGCCTGTATGTCCATGTTAGCAGGGCCTCTGAACCGCTCCAGGAAAGAATCCGGTCGCTCCGTCTCCTCAGCCAAACTCTTCTGCGCCCATTCTCTCAGGGTCATCACCATACTGACTATCCTGAAGACAAACAGGCAGAAAATGTTATGGTAAAATGGTAAATGGCCTTCATTTGTATAGCGCTTTTCTAGTCCCTAAGGACCCCAAAGCACTTCACACTACATTCAGTCATCCACCCATTCACACACACATTCACACACTGGTGATGGCAGCTACATTGTAGCCACAGCTGCCCTGGGGCACACTGACAGAGGCGAGGCTGCCGGACACTGGCGCCACCGGGCCCTCTGACCAAGGTTGTATTGTTGTATTGTTATTGTGGTTGTATCCAGCTAAAACATTCACTCTTGTACTGTTTTACTCCATTATCAGCTGAAAATCAGCTATCATACCTGGACAGAGCCCCTCGGGCCCGAAAGGAATTCTGGGAACCAGCATCTCTCCTGTCAATGGCTGCCATTTGCTGTAGCTCTGAAGAAGTGTCGTCACATATTGACTGTCCTCTGTGTATTCATGCACATACAAAACACATAACACACAAACCATGTAACTCAGCAAACAGTGTGTAGAGCTTTCAGCAACTTGAAACTAGTGATTATCCTTCTGTCCACTTGGACTAATTTTGCTATCACGGTTGTCGCCCCCTGCTGGCCATGAGAAAGAATACGGATTTAAGCATCAACTAAACTGTAACAATACCTGTACAGCATCATCGGTGTGTGTGTGTGTGTGTATACCTGCTAAGTGTGCTCTCAGCTCGGTCACTCTCCTCCTCTGTCCATGTTTTCACAGACAGCCTGTGAGAATCCTGAACCAGACCCGTCATCCTACAGATGCAAACACAGCAACACTCAAGTCATTTTCATTTTGTTCACTGCGAAAAGAACACAAAACAACACAACAAAACACACACATGGAGCCAGGTCGGCTGTACCCAACCCAAGATCCCAAGCACCGTCAGAATATGTGTTAGAACACACACTCACATGTGCACACTCACACACACATATCGCACTTATATGGAAGGTCATCTAGTACGAGGTCATCCTTTGTCGAGCATCACCACAGAAACCAGATGACATAGCAACAAGCTGTACAGTAGTTATGACAACAGATCATAAGAGGGAGAGACAGAAATGCAAAAGTGATCCATTCAGCAAACCTGGTAACTGTTCTGATGCTCCAGCGTTCAGGTGGTCAGTCCATCAGCTCAGATCCTGTGCATCTCGCCAAAGTATTATTTCTTTCTAAAAACACAAAACAAAACTCAACGTCTTTTACAGGCTATAAGACACAATGAACAGACTCGAGTGCAATACACACATAACACGGTGGATGGAGTGAACAAATGTAACCGATAAAAGGAACGATCACGTGGTACTCGGGGGGGGGAAAGCATCGTTTAAATTGCAAATTGTGTGCGTACGTGCATATATGTGTGTGTTTCTTTTCACCAGCATGCTCATCTGAATTCAAGAATCTCGTTTGAAGTGGCCTCTGATCTGGAAATGTGTCTTTGTGCATGTGTGTGTGTGTATTCTGCTGATTATTGAGAGAGATTTTTGTGAGTGCACCTGCACTATTTCAGCTCTGTTCAGATGGATTACAAAACAACACAAAAATATACCCATCTATCCAAAAATGTGTTTTCACCATGTGTTTTGATTGGTTGTGACGGGATGTTGACATGTCTGTTCAAAATGACAGAAAACACGAGTGCCTTACAGGGTAAAAGTCCTTTCTGGGATCGATTGTCACGTGTAATTGGCTCAGTTATTACCAGCACACATTTAGAAAGTGAAGCAGCTGCCTCTCAATCATGATAGCAGCTCCCCTGCTGCAGTGATGACAAATACACCGCACTGCAGACACATTAACAACCTGTCAGAAGCTCAACTGACCTATCCCAGTTTTCCCTCTTATATTGCAGGACAGCTGCAAATATTTGAGCCTTTGTTTCACAAAAACAACTCCTGCTCATTTTAAGCCTGGAGATAGTCACCTTGCTGTATATTCAATAAAGTTAATGCTACCTGCATTCCACCCATGTTAGGTCATGTGCACGCTGCCTCCACTGAAAACATCACTTAAACCCTTGATGGATTCTGCCTGTCATTTTAGCAAAATAGCAAATCAAATATAATGCCGGTTCCCATCAGTGTCTTAACACATTTTAACATAATGCTTTGTCTGTAAATCACAGCTTAGCTCCTTTTTGCTTCAGATAACTCTGAACTTGTATTTAACACTCTAAGTCAGGGGCATCAAACATAAGGCCCGGGGACCAGAATCAGCTCAGCGAAGAATTCCAACCTGGGCAGCTCGAAGGCTTTGGAAAATGTGAAGGAGTGCATGGATTTTGAACTTTAAACTGTTTATTTCACAAATTTGACAGATTTCCTGTTGACAAAGACTTTCACACTACACCAAATAGATAGATAAACAATTCAATGGAAAAAGTTACAGTTTTTCCACTACCTGCCACATAATAACCTACAATTTTATTCTATTCTAAAAAGCATTTACTAATTCGTGTACATGTGCAATAACAATATTAAGACATCTCAGGGATTAAGTGTTTAGCTAAAGGTCTTCACACTGACAGAAAGATTTTCACTGGTCCGGCCCACTTAAGATCAAAGCAGGCTGTATGTAAAATTAGTTAGTTAAAACAAGGTTATAGATCGCTAGCACTGCTATTGTTTGCTTGTCTGTGCATACATTTGGCTGTGATTTGTGTTTTTGAGTCCTAGGACCCGCCCCCTGATGATAGATGTAGTATAGTGGCTTCTGCCTCGGCTCTTTCTGCTCCTTTACGCTCCCTCGTAAAGCAGCAATCTGGCCTTTGTGTTAGGTTGCTGTTCCTTTTCGGTTTTGTGCTTTCAATATTGGGTAATATATGAGCTTCAGGAGCCTCCCCGCGATCCTGATAAGGATAAGCAGAATGGATGAATGGATTGATGACTATGACCTTCATTAGAGACTAAATGGTTGTTGTGTTCCAGCCTTACAAGCCAGCCGTAACTGCGTCCTGATAGTTTCTGCAAAGTTTATGGAAATAATTTGTAATCATTATATTAAATCTGTGAAAGGACTTCTGTGAAAGGACTGCTGCTATCTACCCAAACGAATGTGACATGTGACTGGAGTTTGTTTTAGAACTTAGATCTTATGCTATTTATGCCTTTTTTTACTGCTCTTTTTTAAACTTATTCTTTTTAAACTGTATTGCTTATTGCACTGTAGAGGCTGGTGAGAAACAGCATTTTGTTTCAGGCTGGGTAATACCATATGAAATGACAATAAACTTCTTTAGTCCTTGAGTCCTAAATAAGTAAAATGGCCACTTTCTTAGGACCAACTGTTCAACTATTGGCTAATGTGAATCTAATCAGCCAATCCCAGGGCAGCAACCCAATGAATTTTTGGCATGATTGTACAGGAAACACACTGAAGTTCGGTTTGAGCATCAGAATGAGGAAGAAAAGTGATTTAAACAACTTTAAATGTGGCGTGGTTGATGGTATCACACAGGCTGGTCTGTGATCTGCTGGGATTTTCCCACACAACCCTCTCTAGTGTTTACAGAGAGAAGAGGAAATATGCAGTGTGCAGCAGTTCTTCTGGCAAAAATAACTTGTGGATCCCAGCAGTCAGAGGAGACGGCCAGTCTGCTTCAAGCTCACAGGAGGGCAACAGTAACTCAAAAACAACCAGGCCATGCAGAAGAGCACCTCTGAATGGGCAACAATGTAAGCAGATGGGCGACAGCAGCAGAATACACACCAGCTGCCGCTCCTGTCAGGTAAAAACATGCCACATTTCACACATGCTCACCAAAACTGGACAACAGTAGATTGGAAAAGGGTTGCCTGCTCTGATGAGTCTTCTTATTTGCTGCAACTTCATGCTGCCTTCTATCAGTGCTTCTGGCAGGTAGTGGTGGTGTAACGGTGTGGGCTGATGCTTTCTTGGCACACTTTGGGAGTATTGAGCATAAATGGCACAGCCTACCCGAGTACTGTTGCTGACCATGTCCATCCCTTTATGACCACAGTGTACGCATCTTCAGATAACGATCAACGTCACAGAGCTCAGATCATCTCAAAGTTTCTCAAGCATGAGTCCCCCCCCACCCCCCCCCCCACCCCCAATCCAGTAGAAGATTTGGATTAACCTGCTGCTGTTTGCTGAGCAGACTGACTGAAGTTAAAGCCAATTCTTTGATGTAATACGCTTGATGTGTGTGTGCTGCTTAAGCAGCACACACACATAAACAAAAGAAATGACTGGTATGTATAATTCAATTCAATTCAATTTTATTTATATAGTGTGTGAATGGGTGGATGACTGGACGTGTAAAGCGCTATACAAATACAGGCCATTTACCATACAGCGCCAAATCACAACAACAGTCGCCTCAAGGTGCTTTATATTGTACAGTAGATCGTACAATAATAGATACAAAGAAAAACCCAACAATCATATGACCCCCTATGAGCAAGCACTTTGGCGACAGTGGGAAGGAAAAACTCCCTTTTAACAGGAAGAAACCTCCAGCAGAACCAGGCTCAGGGAGGGGCGGGGCCATCTGCTGTGATTGGTTGAGGTGAGAGAAGGAAGACAGGATAAAAGACATGCTGTGGAAGAGAGACAGAGGTTAATAACAGATATGATTCAATGCAGAGAGGTCTGTTAACACATAGTGAGTGAGAAAGGTGACTGGAAAGGAAAAACTCAATGCATCATGGGAATCCCCCGGCAGCCTACGTCTATTGCAGCATAACTAAGGGAGGATTCAGGGTCACCTGGTCCAGCCCTAACTATATGCTTTACCAAAAAGGAAAGTTTGAAGCCTAATCTTGAAAGTAGAGATAGTGTCTGTCTCCCGAATCCAAACTGGAAGCTGGTTCCACAAAAGAGGGGCCTGAAAACTGAAGGCTCAACCTCCCATTCTACTTTTAAATACTCTAGGAACAACAAGTAGGCCTGCAGAGCGAGAGCGAAGTGCTCTAATAGGGTGATATGGTACTACAAGGTTATTAAGATAAGATGGGGCCTGATTATTTAAGACCTTGTATGTGAGGAGCAGGATTTTGAATTCAATTCTGGATTTAACCCCTTAGCAGTCCTATTAGTCCCCTAAACCATCCAATGTCCCGTGGGCGGTACGTCCGACTGCTAACAGTTTAACAGGAAGCCAATGAAGGGAAGCCAAAACAGGAGAAATCTGCTCTCTCTTTCTAGTCCCTGTCAGGACTCTGAGTGCTCTTAAAAATGAAACTTACATTTATCCATGATATCCTGTTTCAGTAGACCAAGAAAATTCAGAGTAGCCTCAGCTGTGCCATCAATTAAATGTAAAACAGTCTTTAATTGCTAAATACAAATAAATATAACATCGTGCTATTTGCTACGTGATGGAAGCAAAATCTCAATAATAATATTTAAGGAAATGGAAATGAATGACTGCTATTGGTTCTGTTCAGTAAGTAAATGTGTGGTTGTTGCAATAACACGCTTGAAACAGCAACAGAACAAATCACACAGAACACAAAACTAGATATGAAAAAAGATTTTATTGTTTACCATAACAGACGTAATTGTGCACACAACACATTGAAAGTATTGCTCGCATGACTTTAAATTCATCCGGGACTAAACCTTTGAGGTTGTTTATTGCAGTCATCATGGCAGCAAAAGCAGAGCTACTGAATTCAAGTGTTATGCTGGAACAGACCGTCTAAAGACAAAGCGCTAGAAAAAAGCACTACAGATGTGCTGTTCTGGGTTAAAAATCCTAGTCAAAGCATTTAATAGACATTGAAGGTTAAAACAGGTTTCAGTTTTATATTCTGTGAATATATTATCTGCCTATAATGTAGCACAGCTTTGGTCATATACATGAAAGATTACTATGGCTCGAGAACAATAACTGACACATGGGAAGTTGAGAGGAAAAAGCAGCTGAGAAAATGTTAAATATGTTCAGGAATGGAGGAAAGGCAGCATTAGGTGCTTCTATGTGAGATGTGAAGTAGTTGTTTTTGAATATTTGCCACGTGTCATAACTTAAAGACAAACATAAAGACACAATTTCATATTTTCTTAACAGGTTTCCCCTTCGCACAGTCCTAGCATGCATGGCTCAGACCCTGTGATAGTCAGCGCTCTATTAGATTCATCTCAGCGAGCAGCACAGACGATGATCACCTCGTAAACGATCGTAAAAATGAGATCCAAAGAAAAGCCCCAAACCAAACCTCAACCTTTATATCATGTAGCCGTTAAAGAAGTCCCACTTTACTGCACTTTACTGTTTACACTCAGATTGGATTCACTCTGTTTTGGTTAGCTCAGAATAACCACATAAAACAACAACGCAGTACATCTATGCCCACTACACGTGTGTCTGTTTGTCTTTAGGTGCAAGCGTGTCTCCTTTAAGCTTTCTTCATCCCTCTCCCCATCAGGCAGGCGAAGATGGTCATCACCATTTTGGGGTTGACTTCTACCAGGTCTTCAGGCAGGGCGTAGACTTTGGCACCAATCTTCCTCGCCATGGAGACGGCATACCTGGAGAAAGGAAGGATGGTAATTAGAGCGTATCACCTCATCATCACAACGTTGATGTAATAATCAGAATGCCCCACTGCCAGCTAAGGTTCTAGATAGCAATGTAATGAAATACACAAGCCCAGTAACTACTGGAAACAAACGGAGCAGCAGAGGTGATTACTTGGCATTGTTCAGTTTGTCTTCCTCTGACAGATTTTCCTTTTTAACCAGCTCAAAGTTGACACTCTGCGGCTGGATGGCATCAATCAGGTCGAGAACTGGCAGACTGCTACTGATTATTTTGTCCTAAACAGAAGAGCACACAAGCATCACACGTCCACAGCTGGTCTTTCACTCTTCACAAGCAATAATCCACAATGACAAAACAGAATATACATGTGAAAATATCTCACATTACACTAGTAATTGGCTAGTTTGTGTAATAAATGCATACTTTCTCTGGCAAAGTGTAACTTTTTACCTTGAAGCTTTTTATAGAGGAAGTCTTGCCAGCGCCAGACAAAGTCTTGTTGACCCAGGAAATGATCACATCATCTCCAGCAACTTCTCCATGTCCAAGGTCTTTGAGGACATTTAACGTGTACCTGCATGTGGATGTGAGAATATTAGCCTCGTTACTGAGCACTATATTTCCCATAAGCCCCGGTGTTTTTAATCATCAGTGCACCGATGTGTCTCATCATAACAGCTCAGTGCATTAAACTCGATGAACTTGGTGAGAGAGCTCTGACTTTTTCGGTTTCCATCCTGAAACAGCAGTACCCCCTATCTGTCCTCGACTGTACTGCAAACCCAACATAGGAATCAAAAGAAAATCACCTCCTCATCAGCTGCCACACCAGTGCCAGGGTTAGAGTAGGGTTTCCGTCGTACAGGTCCTGTCCACCAATCCCCACCAGGAAAAACCCGGCTTTTTGCTTCCCCAGCTGCACGGCGTAGTTACAGTTTTCAATCTGCAGTGCGCAGAAAGACATTTTTGGGATCTGCACCTTGTTGTTTACACTTTATACACTGTCCCAACTTTTTTGGGAATCCTAGTTTTTACACGCACACAAACAAAACATTGCAAATTTCAAAAGCCACATTTAATTTATAGTAGAAAACATATCAAATGTTTAAAAAGAGTAGATTACCATTTTAAATAATAATACTAAAAAGGTCAATCTGTAGATGCAGTTTTTTCTAAATTCTACTGTGAGTAAAATATGGATTTATGAGATTTGTTAATGTTGTTGATGGATGGATACATTCTGGATACATTCTGTTTTTACTAACGTTTTACACATTGCAACATTTTTTAATATATTTCACAAGTCATAAGTTCAGCTTTCAGGCTGATCTAAACACTAAGACAGTTTTTCTATTCTTGGCTGTCATCGCTGTGAGTAAGATGTCCTTAATATGATCACCTAAGCTTAGACTGTCAGCGTACAAGCTCCATACATCTGCTGACTAGACTGTCTCTGTATGAGGGGCAGCCAATAAGAAAACGGTTGTCTTAAAGAGACGGGAAGAATGTGTGTCGAGTGTGAAACAAAACAAGGTGCTCCACCAAGACCCAATCTAAGGCATAAATATATGGAGCTGGAAATGAGCATCATACACACCCATTAAATGTGTATGTGTCGTTTCCACGTGAACATCTTTTATTAAAAACTGTTCTTTGAATGAAGCAGTTTGTGTATTTACCTTTTTTAAGTGGCCTCCTCCTGCTTTGAATGGAGGGCGATTGACTTTGTCCCATTCCACTGGAACCATAATCTTTTCATAAAGTTGCAGAATCACTATGGCATTCTGCAGATCACTGTACACACACACAGTGGCGTGTGAGGTGAACATGCACATGTAAAATACATATCAGAGTGTTGCTAAACGGTACAGATCGCACACTGACCCATAGATATGATGAACATTTGGAGAGACGCCGAGAGAGTTCATCCAGTTCCTGAAAGTTCTCTCCTCCCTGGTCTCACCTGGAGATCGCGAAAGACAGAGTCAGCCACAGGATCTTACCTCAGTGACTACAGGAGCGAGAAAGGAAATGCTCATCCATGCTTACTCTCCACAATCCACTCTTGGTTCTCTGGTTTAGTGAGAGCCGGGTGTTTGTTGAAAAGGGTCGCCACGAAGGCCATGTTGAGCTTAGAGTTTCCACTCACGACATCGGTGGCAGTGACAAACTGCCTGCAGCCCAGACGGTTGGCCTGCTGCAGCATGCACTCTGCTCTCTTTACCAGATCCTGCTCCTGTGACACACACACAGGCACAGAGGCGTGTGATATGCATGTATTTAAATGACAGATTCATCCTCTGTATTAGTTCTCAGTTTTCAAGCGTTCAAATAAAGAAATTGAACCATTTTCTCTGACATCACTGGGGCATTTTTCTACTCTGTGTGTGTGTGTATGCAGGGTGTGTATGAAGGGTTAGGCCTGACTAGAACAGCACTACAAACAAAGAATCTACAAGGCAAACGACATGCTGCCTTTCAAGCAAACTCACATATAGACCGCTCATTTCAATGTTAACATGGGGAACATCCTCTTTGCTGCCATCTGGGGCGATCTGCTCGAGCAGGTGGAAGTAGGCCTTGGAGTCCTGCGTGGGAACAGAAGTGCACAAAGGCAGAGACAGACCCGTGTCAGACTGCGCTCATGTTTATTCCCAGCGCTAAAAAAAAGATTCTTCACCCTCAACAAACATGAAGGAGTAAAATTCAATTAAATGTAATATTTATTCTACTTGTACTTAGCGTAGTTTGATTAGTTAAAGTCAGCATTTTGAGAGTAAACATGCATTTTGAGTGACTTTTATTCATTTATTCAGGGTTGATTTCAATAGCATTATGTGTTGTTGCAATATGTGACAATACTCATGCAAAATAAATGTAAATGTGTGTTTAATGTGTGTAAATGTGTGCAAAAATAAAAGTGCATTTACAAATTTTTATATGAAAGCAGAATACAGTTAATTGCAGCCAACTGCAGAGCCAACCTGCCTTTGCTTTTTAATATTTTACTGAACATCTATTTCAGCCGTCCCCAACCTTTTTTGCACCACGGACCAGTTTATGTTGCGGATAAGCACAACAAAATGAAAACAGCACCGGTACCAAAAAAAGAAGATTTATTCATAACAAACGGGAAAAGACCCAGGAAAACCGAGTTAACGATAAATACGATACAAAATAAAGATAAAAAAAAACAAAAACCATAAATTTCACACCCGAGCCTCAACTCTTGCGCCCCGGTACCAAACGACTCTGGGGGTTGGGGACCGCTGATCTATTTAATTTGACCTATAATTATTTTGCTCATGCTGGGCTTTGGTGGAGACAATCAGTTCATCCTCTACCTGAAACAAACTATCCTCTGTCTTTAAAACGTCCCTCCCCTTTAGCCAGCTTCCCTCTGATTGGCTGTCCCTCATGAAGAGAAAGCTCAGAGAAAAGCAGGTAGCTGTGTTTAGCCTGACATGACGATATCAGATATGTGAACTCAAACAGAGCCATGAGTGGAAAACAAACGTTCTTCTGTTTCACAGGGACTATTTGTGCATATTCTGCCCTCATCATTTAAATATTCTAGTTTAATGTTTAATCTAAGCAACTATTCAAACGCCCGTGTGTCAGAGCTACAACCCATGAATGAAGTGTTTATACTGTCACAGGCATATTACCCTGAAGAGAATGTGATTTTGTTTAATTGGGACCCAACATCTGTAAAAGATCAAATAAGGATTTAGTCTCTAATAGCAAACAGTGAAGCGACTGGTTACATTTTCTTACCTTAACATCAGCAGAAAAGTTTGATATCTTCATCCCGACTTTCTTTAAATGGAAATTGACCCAGCGGAGCAGCAGCTCTTCAGGACTGAGCTTCATCAGTTCCTCCAGACTCTCACCTTCCTCTAGCAACGCTGCAATAGCTATACAGAGAGAGAGCAATGACTCTGGTGCCTAAACTAAACTCCAGCATGTATTTAAAGGACAACTGCTATATAAACTTCCATGTTCTGATCCTGGGTCTCTCCTTTTTATCTGGGATTCACTGGGCTCAAACTGTCACAGAGGGTTCAGATTTTGTCAAAGAAGTCAGTGCAGCTTTGGATAGAAGTAAATGTAGTGACACTGCATAAGCTTAGTGAAGAGCTAAAGGCGGTTCAATGTGACATTTTACAGTGAGTCACTTTTTTGTGGCCAGGAAGTGAAATGATAGAAAATATAGGAAAACAAATAATGGGTCCCCTTTAAATTGTGTTTTACTTTTTGCATGTTTGCAAAATTCCCTCTCCACAGACAAATCTATCTGCAAATCTATCTGTGCTCCACCTTCATTGCGGCTCAGCTCGATATCGGCAAACAGCCCTATCTTGATAATCTGCCAGAGGAGCCCGAGCACTAGATGAGGTTTCCCCTCCTTCAGATCTTGAGCTCCGATGTTGACGACCTGGCACCCGATGGCTGAAGCAGAATTCAGAGCCAAGTTCAGATTCTCCTGTAGGATATGAAGGGTCAAGGGTTAAATCGCATTAAGCCAGCACACGATTAAGATGTGAAAGGGAACCAACTGACCTGTTTGGTGAAAGGAGTCAGTTTCTTTTTGTTGATGGTTCTCTCGTCGATGGTGTCAGGCACAGATAGGTTGATGAGTTTACTGAAACAGTGAACGTGAGGGAAGCATCTTAGCGCACTGCCTGAACGTGGCAAATAGCGTCTAAAGAAAACTGCTTTACCAGAGCATGATGCCATCTCCGACAGCTTTAAACAGATCCTCGGTGTTGGGGTTGATGGGGAGAACGTGCTGACAGTCGGGATCTTTCTCCAAAGCCGAGTTGAGGTAGTTGGCAAAGGCGAAGCGCTCCTGCTCTGAAATACGACAAAGCCAAGTGTCAGATCTGTTTCTGCGACGACTAAAACCTGAGGCTGTTTGATCAGAGAGTTCTCTGACTCCACCAGGCGGTGACACCACACATATTATATATGGCGTTACTAACCAGAGATCGAATGTTGAGTTCCTGCACTTGAGAGCTCGCTGGTGCCCCCGATGGCTACAATGCCTTCTTTCTTGTTGAGAGCTTTCCTGAAACTCTGGGCTATGCGGTCGTCCTTGAGTTCCTTAAAGAGCTGAATATATATGCAAACACACGCTAACTTACAGACAGTCAAACCATGGTTACTGTATATTTGTCAAGATATTAACCAATATAAGTCATTTATCACTTAATATGTTATGGTAGTTTGCCTTTCTTTACAGTACATTAGTATATAAACAGATTTTTATGTAACATGTTTACTTTTTTGGCTGCTGTGAGTAAACTGTTAGTAAAGCTGTGAATTACTACAGTTAGTTAACTAGTGTTACCTACAGCCTCGAACTCTGATAATTCAATTTTGCTGTCGTTGTTCAGATCCAGCTTCTGGAGGAGTTGTCTGAGCTGATATCCCGGGACAGGACAGCCAACCTCTCGGAAGAGATTGCCAAGTTCGGTGGAGGAGATGTACCCATTGCCATCCGCATCTACACGTGGTGTGTCAAGACAGGAAATGAAAGAGAACTTTACTTAAGCTTAAACTTCTACTCTTTATTTCTTTATTTACAGTTTTCCAGATATGCAGGGCGAGATTTAAAGTGCTGCCATTGTGACATGCTAAGAGTCAGTGCCCTAAAGTCTCAGCTTATGTTTACTCTGTAGTATTTTCCATTGAAATGATGTGCAAATCATGGCATTCTTTTCTCTTCTTACGTTACACAGCGTTCCAACTTTTCTGGAGTAAAATTTGCTGAATTGCTCCTTTAGTGCAGCGGTCCTTTTACTCCACGGATAGTTTAATGTCAGACAATATTTTCACGGACCGGCCTTTAAGGTGTCGCAGATAAATACAACCAAATAAAATGATACGGCCGAGACAAAAACTGTGTTATTTTGTAAATTTATTAATAATAAGCAAATTCACTGTGTAATTGTGTAACTTTATTAGCAGCGTCCTCCTGAAATGCACCAACAACACTGAGAGTAACATCCTCCTCTCTGCCCCTTAATGCTCTCTGGTCGCTATGGTAACGCGTAAATATTTCTTTCAAAATAAGACGCACGACTACAAAACATAAATAAAGTACATGAAAATATATAATTCACCATAATGCTAAATCAATGAGAGGGGAGACAATGACACCTGAAGTGTGTTGCTTATGCTCAGCCTGCTCCGCAATTTTGTTTTGGTAGCTGGAACCGCAGAAAACCCCGCTTCACACAGGTAGTGTGTGTGTGCTGTTGTGGCAATCTTGGAATATTCTGCCATGACTTTTATCCAAAGTAGTTGATGTCTCGAACATACTTTTAAAGCTTTTAAAGCAGTTCGTGGGTCTTTTGTGAATGGGAAGTAACACTCAGACTATTTTTAAAAGAAAAGACAGGTGATCGTGCACTAGTAAGTTTTTTATTTTTTCTGTGCGGCCTGGTACCAAAAAAATGGGAAAAAAGACCCAGTGAAACCGAGTTAGCGTTAAAAACCCTGAAAATCATCAATTTCACACCCGAGCTTCAACTGTCGCGGCCCGCTAACGGTCTGTGACCCGGGGGTTGGGGATCGCTGCTTTAGACAATAACGGGAATGTAGACGTATCAAAGCTTCTGTCTGCCAGATCCTGCACACGTACACAGGCGTGCACAAAGAGGCACTTTTCACAGTCATGTACACCACACAGTCAAAAATAAGTGGTTAATTCATAGATTTCTGCAATGTGAACGAACACACACAAACACACACATTTTTACTCACCCACTTTGTTAAAGGCCTCCTTTATCTCCGCCATCTCCTCGGCACTGAAAGACTTTGACATTCCGACACCTGTGAGACACCTGACACCTACACAGGCAAATGATGCATGTAAGTGCTGCGTACCAACTCCGGACACATCGCACAGAGCATCAGGAGTAATGACCATAAAAGGCTTATAAAATGCAGATTCCTTATGCATGCATTGTGACTGAACTGGCTGCAGTGCTTCAGTTCGCCCTGCGCCAATAATTTTCTTTTTAGCAGTGCAGATTTATCTCAGTGATTACCTTACTGCTGGTTGGAATAGCATTTCCCAGCTTTCCGTGATAGAGCTTAGTTTCAGATACATGGCTGCACTTGAATAAATCAGTATGTCTCAATATGACATACAGACAGTTGTATTACTGTATTATCATTATTTCTGCATTTACTGTTATATGCTTCTCTCAACCTGGAGCCAGCTGCAGATCTCACACAGCAAAACTCTGATAACTCCGTCAGGAAGAAGTCAGTAGCTTGAGCTATCACAGGCAGGGCTCTTTAGCGCTGTAGTTACACCAGCCTATCATTGCTAAAATCTTCTAAAAGAATAAAACAGATGCCACGGGCATTCACTGGCCAGTTCCTCAAGTGCACCTGTTCTTTGTTGGCATACTTTAGGCCTCTTAGTACTAACCGAACATCATTTAAACACCATCTCAAAAGGACTTTGTCTCAGTTCCCTGTATGCAAATGGCCTGCACAGTCACCAGATCTCAGTACTAAAGAGGACCTCTGGGACATGATGGAATGAGAAATTTGCATCATGGATGTGCAGCCAACAAATCTGCAGCAACTGTGTGATGTTATCGTGTCAATTTAATAATTACGGGGCGATTGTGGCTCAAAGAGTTGGCAGTTCATCTTGTAACCGGAAGGTTGCTGGTTCGAGCCCCGGCTCGGACAGTCTCGATCGTTGTGTCCTTGGACAAGACACTTCACCTACCGCCTACTGGTGATGGCCAGAGGGGCCGATGGTGCGATATGGCATCCTCGCTTCTGTCAGTCTGCCCCAGGGCAGCTGTGGCTACAACTGTAGCTGCCTCCACCAGTGTGTGAATGTGAGAGTGAATGAATAGTGGAATTGTAAAGTGCTTTGAGGGCCCCGAAAAGCGCTATATAAATGCAATCCATTATTATATGGACCAAAATCTCTGAGGCACGCTTCCAGCACCTTGTTGAATCTATATGCCATGAAGAATAAAGGCAGCGTTGAAAGTTAAAGGGGGTCCAACTCAGTACTTAACCGGTGTAACTCATGAAATGGCATGTCAGTGTACATGACAGCATAGAGCCTGAGTGGTATAATAGCCATACACTAATATCATTATTGAAAGCAGCTAGAAATAGAAGAAAAGAAGCTTGTTGTAATGACACAGGTTGTCCAGCAGAGCGGCTCCAAATATGCAGCTGGCACCAATTTCCATTTTCAATGTGAAATTTTCCAGCAATGATACCAAACATATTAAATGTTATTAGGGATCATTTCGTACAGCCATCCAATAGGCCAGTGACTATCAAAGTGTGGGGCCCTGGTGGACCAGACAGGTACTGCAGGTGGGCTGCGGTAATAACAGAAATTGAACTAGAAATTAATTACATGCATACAAATACATATTTATATTAATACATTTATTAAAAAATATTTATATAATAAATGAGTTTTAACAGTTTTCTCACTCAATAAGGTTTTTTTTCCAAAAACTGAGCTCCTATTTGGGCTGCATCTCTTGAAACAAAAATCTCTCATGCACCCTGATCATGTTACAGCATGACAAACAAATTAACAGGCAAAGCTGAGCGTGAATATGCAAACAGTGGTTTCTCAACCAGATACACATGGATACAGGCACTTGAATACAAGCCTTCTAATATCTCTATAAAAACTAGAAACAAAAATGCCCCTCCCATGTACTCTGTTAAAAAGACAACAGTGGTGATCAGACGGCAGTTAGCTATACCCACGGTTATTTGAATAAAGAAAGGAAAAGCATCTCTCCTAATGCAAACCAGCCCAAATATGTGCACATCACACTACTGCTTTGAACTGGTGCAAACAGCATAGAGGTATTTAAAAAGTGTTGCTGTTTTTTAATGTTGATTTTACAAGCTAGATTTCACAGGTTTTTAGGCTTTTAAAGGCAAAAAATGTGATTCGGATTATTTCGAAAATATCGTATTATGATCTAAACATTTTAATTGGGTAGCAACTCTTTCACAATACTCAGTTTATAGGAAATGTACATATCATGCCGCCACCAGGTGTCACTGCTTTGGGAAGATCAGATCTTCAGATGGACGTGTCCTTGCCAATAAATCCAAATCCTTCTATGAGTATTATTATTAGTGTGTGTGTGTGTGTGTGTGTGTGTGTGTGTGTGGGGGGACGACGACTATTATTTGGACAAACCGACCACCTCAAAATTGCCCCTCTGTTGTGAGACGTCACACTGACTGAACAGCACTGCAGCCCGCTGTAAAAGTCTGGCTGTCTGCATGCAATTTGTACTGCAGATTTAGATTAGGCAGAGCCCGCGCACATGAATGATGTTCATAGCTTATAAAGCCTGACACATGCTCAGTGTGACGACGCACTTCGTCCGGCCGCTGCTGCTGCACCGTCTGCCAATCACATTCTAGCACTCACTGAGAGAAAAAGCCACTTTCACGTCTATTAACGGTGTGGCTGAGGCCTGAGTGGGAGTTTTATCAGACAGGCTGCAAGTAACGCACAATATGCTGTAATAATATACGCAACTTAGAAGTTATATAGTATTCCAAGAAGACAAAGTCATGAAATAAGAATAAAAGTAATACACAAGGTGACATTTTGCTTAACTACCATGTGTGCATACCATGAGCCATCTACTCCACAAATACTGCGTATTTTAGCATATGTTTAAAATATTATTGAATACAGTCTCTACAAGCATCCCCACATAAGCTGTAAAATGTGATTTGTAGGTGAATGGACGGACAGCTGATGTGTCGCAGTGAGTTTTAAATTGTTTTCTTCCGATGCATAAAAGTCTTTACCTCCTGTCATTAGTCACGAGAAAACGCCCTGAAACTCTCATTGTGCTTACCTGTAGTCGGCGGATGGGGCAAAATCACCCGGGGAAACCAATCTCTCTGTCGGCCTGGCTCTGCCCCTCTGTCCCGTTTTCTTCTGCTGACGCCGCCCGGAGAAGGGAGCCGCTCCGCCCCCTCGGCGCCACCCTTTCCCTTAACCAAGCCTCCTCTTCATGCCCGCGGTCATGTTGAGCACCAAGCTAAAGAAAACACTGTCTGTGGTGTTCTTCGGAGACAATGGCGAAATTTACCAAGAACATAAAGTTCTGCACTAATGAAACAGAGAGAAACACGAAGACTCACTTATGGCCAACTGATATGTAATGCTAAACAAATAAAATGTAGTAACACTAACAGTAGCTTAATTAGCATTAATAGCTTGTGTTTCTCAACTTCAAACAATAAACTCTTTGATGGGCAGACTTGAAATACATTATATATAAACTAATGTAAGTAGTTCTAACAATTTTAGCCTATTTACATTAACACTAACTATAATCCATCTGGAAGCAGGTCTCATATCTGGCATCTTTTCACAGCTTTGATAACTTATTTAACAACCACTTACAACCTTTTACTTAATAAGGGAATTTTTGGTATGTTTAACGGTAGAGTAAGAAACATTTCTAGATTATTTAAATGAAAACATATCAATATATTGTACATGCAAACATGTAAACAAAGGTAAGCACTAGGTTGGCATGTTGCCTTCAAAGGATACTTTTAAGCTTTTAATAGTGTAAATGTTCCTCATTGGTTCACATATGTGGGAGTATTTATTTGAAAAGAAACTCAAACTGAGCAACTTATTCAAAATCTGTGAACACCCCGTTAGCTTGGTGCTATCTTGGCTACATAAAGTGCTCATAATATAAGTGTAACTGTAAAATTTCTAAATTAAAGTTACAGTGTGTCAAATCTCACCACTAACAGAATTCTCTTTTCTTACCTTCTCATCTCACTCTTCATAGTGACAGTAGGCTGTTAGTCCATGTTTATCTCAAAGTCTCCACATCTATTTACAGTGATACAGTGATACATTTTGAAGATATCCTAGACTTTTCTGCCTGTAAACACCACTGCCTTTAGCTACTGTTAGCTGCTGTTAGCTGCTGTTAGCTGCTGTTAGCCAGCATTAGTAACGTTTTTGTAATCGTTAAATTAATATCAAAGCAGTTGCCACACCTATGTGCCACTGAAAGAACATCATTGACAAATGTTTATTTAAACTCAACTCACATGTAACTGCTATGTGCAGATAAGCAGAAGAAACTTTAGTATAAAACATAAAATAAATAAAACATACACTCTATCAAGAATGCCAGAAAAGTTTCTTTGTTTGGGCAGCATGAATCCAAAGTAATGGCCAACAAAATGGTCCAATGAGATAGTAAACTCATTATATCAATCTCAAATTCTAATATGCATCACCATCAGTCATGTGCTTATTTTTAAATTATAGTCTGCTTCAGATTATTCTACAGATTATTACATTTTCTAAAACAATATGTGTAAACAGTCAGAGCCCTGCTGCTCCTACCAGTCCGTACATGTAGGAATTCCTCCTGCTCCTCTTCCCATTCCTACTCTTCTCATACCTTTCCTTCCTCCCCCTGCTCTGTGATGTCTCTCTCCCTGAGTGGACTGATGTGTTTCATCTTGTCAGAACTGTCACAATTCCTTGATTGTGCCAGACACTGAGCGAGACATTTCCAAAAAGCCACACAGAGAAGGGATGCAATTCATGGCTGTTATTGTAATGAATGAATCCAGTGATGCAAAAGTAAACTGAAACCAGTGTCTAGTCGTTTTTGTAACCTTATACTAGACTAATGAGTGCTGGATTAGACCGCACTGGCTTGTGCACAAAACACTGTGGCTAGATGCGATTGAACCTGATTGTCATAGAGAATGAGCTCTGTTTGCCAAAGCTTGGATATATTGAGTCGTCTTTTAACAAAACAAAAAAATCTCCTCCAGCTGGCCTGGGGATTTGTCTTTAACTGACATCAATAAATAGCAAAGATCCTTTTGTTGTGGTTATAGAAGGGCTTTGGCAGAAAAAGGAGCATCCAGAAAGGTCACTGTGCCACCTCAGCTGATTTCTACTAATATACCTTTACAACCAAAGTAATAATAAACTATAGTTAAGTTACTGCAGCTCAAGCTCAAGTTAAGCAGCTAACAGCGGCTTAGTGCATTTGCAACAACTGTGATAACGTTCGTGGCTAAGGAGGACACTGGTGTTGGAGTGGATCGGCCTCTGGAAGGCAGACTTTTTGAAGCATCCCCTCAGGTTTCATTGGAACTAAAAACGAAAGGTCAATTATCAGCCTGTGCTCCAGTTTTGTAACTATGTTCTCACTGAAAGACTCCAAAATCATAGGAAATGTGTTGAGTACATTCTGTGTTCACAACTTAGCTCCAACTATCATTGTGTGTGTGTGTTGAGTTCACTGAATCACTTCTGCAGCTATAGAGGAAGCATCTCTCCTGCCCTGTACACGTTGCAGTCTAAGGCACAAGTGCATTTGCATTGTACTATGCATGTATCTGTAATTATGCATACCTGTTTATAATCTCGTTCAAACTCACTCGTTTTTCCTTAAATCTGTTGTGTAGCCTGTAAAGGTGCCTGAGTGTACTGATTTATTATTTAAGATTGGAAGCACAGCTGCTCATAAGTGACTACATTTTTTAATACATATATTTTTAAATAAAAGCCAAATGCCACCCTGTTGAAGTTGGTCCAGATCATATGCTCTGACTCCAGCCACAACTACGATCAGTTGATCTTGCTTTGGTGCCAGGAGGAGGAGGAAAATTTACGGATTTTGAGGAGTGCAGATATAGACAAAACCTTTATTTATTGCATAAAAGAACAAGAAGGTGATGGTAAAGTGTAAATTGCATCCAGGACAGAAACAGCTGTCTTATACTGCTGACACAACACAAGTTCTTTGCAAGCATCCGCACAGACAGCATGCAAATGCAAAGCTAGCACCTAGAGTGATGTTATAGCTGAGTGCATACTGACCCCAGTCCAGCAGCCACAACATGAACTTACACAGGGAGCAAAGGCAGTGCTGAGCAGGCTCTGTTCTACTTTTTAAAACAGAATTATTGTCGTTTGAAAACTCTTTTCAACTTTGCATTTTATCGTTGGTTCTGTGTTAATATGTAATAAAAGAATGACTTATTAGAATAGAAATTTGTGGGTTGGTCGTTCCATTGCTTGTTATCGCCACATGAGAGGCCGCTATAAACTGTGTTGATATCACACGTCTGACCTAATCGGTCCATGTCGGTCCTTGGTCATTTTGTGGAAAACACACTAGTTGTTGTTGTTTTTGTATTATATAATACAAATACAAATACAGGCCATTTACTACTGTCAAGACTATGTGCTGGAAAAGTTAAAAACAAACAAAAAGGCTGTTTGTCTTTAACAAATACCAAGAACTACTGATATTTTTTAATGGAAATGCTTCAAATACTCTTATCTATTCTCAGGTGTTTTGTGGCTTTAATAATGGATAGATTATATCAGCACTGAAACTTCCTACATTTCACTGCTTATACAGTCCCAATCAAAGTTTCAGACCACTTGAAAAATGGCAAAAAAAATCATATTTTGCATGGTTGGATCCAAGGTTCCAAGGTTCCAAATAGAGCTCCAATGTGCAGCAATAAGAAGAAATGGGAGTGAGACAAACCATTTTAATTCAATTCAGTTTTATTTATATAGCACCAAATCACAACAACAGTCGCCTCAAGGCACTTTATATTGTGCAGTAGATCATACAATAATAGATACAGAGAAAAACCCAACAATCATATGACCCCCTATGAGCAAGCACTTTAGCGACAGTGGGAAGGAAAAACTCCCTTTTAACAGGAAGAAACCTCCGGCAGAACCAGTCTCAGGGAGGGGCGGGGCCATCTGCTGTGATTGGTTGGG